TAATATAAATCGATGAAATGAATATCTGATAGTTAGTGAAAGGAAGGAACTGATCGGTGAACATTATCATCGTCGGTATTCACTTACTTCAACGCTTTCTTCTTATGCACCGAGTGGATGAAAGCGCTAAGTAAAACTGAAACATTTTCTTTTTGGCTTCTGGCATATATTAGGTAAGCAGAAGAAGGAAATGTTCGTTTGCATGAAAATATAATCAAAAAAAAGAACAGTTTTAGCACAGAATACAAGGACGAAAATAATGGTAAAATGAATAATAATGAGAAGTGAAAAAAATTTCATATTCATAAAAGGAATACACAAAACTGAAAGAATGAAGTAAGCTCGAAACGATCGCACTCTACGTGAAATTATGTGTGCAAATGAATATTCAAACAATTGCAATTGGTCAATCTAGAGTTCAATAAATAATTACAATCATAATTTGCAATGACCCAATTCAAAATATTATATTTTGGTGCAAGATTATGCATAACTTTGAGGACAATGAAAATGTGAATAGGAAATTCGAACGGAAAATACAGTCACGAAACGGAGAACAAATAATGAACCTTGAAATACTAAAGAAGATGTCAAAGGTGGATGCGGCGTTCAGCAATTTTCAAAGCTTATTATCGAGCANACACCCAAACACTATATATAAGGCATTTTAAAATACTGTGGAGTAATTATCGTATGATGTAAAATCACAAATTCAACAGAATCGCAAACCCGTATTCAAGATCATGATCGCGTAAATAGATTTTCATATCACCCAGCTCAATACGTTTACCGTCATTGGATGAAAAAATAATTTCTTTGAATTTCTCCAAGCGTAAAAATCCATCAGATCCCTCTGAAGATTCCTCAGTGTGCCTCACAACGATATGCTTCCAAGTCCAACCACGAACTTTCTCCCAAAACTCTTTACACGAATTCGCCTCTCCCTCAACAACAATAATACCCGGTTTACCAGGGCATGAGAAACCGTTCAAGTCGAGCTGTTTTGCAATATATTCGATATCTTTACGCTTAATATTACTACGTAAATGATGCGAATAGATCCAGTAACGAGCATATACCACACTGTCGTTTGAGTCATTCGTTTTACTCGCACACTCTTCTGATGACAATTCATTATTCTGATTATCCAACTGAAAATATCGACGTATTGTTGAGAAAGGAACGGAGATAGAGCTCAATTGCAAAAGCTCTAATTATAATACATTTCAAAGTTATAAGACAGTTTCTTTTTTGACTGATGTGAATAAATGATATCTTTGGCCAGTTTGGACACAAGAAATATTCAAATAATAGAATTCAGCATATAAGGAACCTTAAAAATGCTGAAATTTTCCTGAAGCCACTGCACGATAGTCATAATAATTGGTTCACCAAGTTGTAGTTCGTTAACGAATGATCGAATCTGCTGATTCAGTGAGTCAACATTCACGTGATTACATCGCACAAAAACATTTGGCTTCGAATAGAGGGGATATTCAACTGTACATTGCGTTACCAATTCAACTGGCACCTCGTCGATATTCTGAAGAAATCTTCAAACTCGATACAGTCATGTTCGTTGATTTCAAGAGTAAAATGCGACAAACGCACTCACCAATCGCAGAATAATGATAGTGTCACGTCCCTCAACGAACGTACTATCACCTTCAGGCAATTCTAATTCGTCTTCACTGAACATCGATTTTAAAAGTTGCAACTCATCGAAAAACATCAAACGACATGAAGCACACTCATCGTCCATTTCGTCAGTTGACGAGTGATCTTAAAACTGATTTTATCATATGTTATTAAAAATAAATTATAAAAAATTCTTTCTGTTGCGTTTACTTTTATCCTTAAGCTGCACTTACTTCTATTTTTAAACTATTGTTGTGAGCGATTCAAGGACACCTTAAAATTTTATAGAAAATGCACACGAAAGAAAAGGATAAGGACCGCTGACTCAAACAATACTGTTGCATCCTACAAATGATAAACGACACGACAGGTGCATAAAAGAATCCTTAACAACGAACATTAATAATATTCTACGAAGGAATAGACCAATTAAAATGTCAGAATCGAACGTGAACATTATCGAAAATATTTATTCTAATATCGCATCAAAATATGAGCAAATCAAAGGGACACGTACACACACACTTCGTTATTATGATTATAATAGTGAGCAATGCAAATAAATTTTCTTAGATTGTATCATCAAACCAATACCTCGTAAACAACTATTTCAACTTCTAAAAGCTGCGCATTTCACTCGAATATTTGGAATGGAATCAAAAATTTGATTTTATGAATTTTTTCTAGAAACGACTGAATTTTCTAGAAATGGCTCACAAATAAGCAACGGCTATTGTCAACAAATACTTTCTCTCACATCATCAGCTTGATGATTCAACTGAGGCAATAACACTCTGTTGTAGTGTTTGTAAGCGTTTCAGCAAGCATATCAATGGTTTGATTCGACCGTTAAGAATATATGCAAAATACAGTAAGTGTGAAACAGTCAAAAAATAGACAATCGTACATGACCACTCTAGATACAATTCAGTACATAAGAGTCATCAAACTGAATAATCCGACGAAAAATCGTTTCACGTACCAATACCATATGGTATCAGATATCACACTAACTCATGTTCATTCACATCTAATTATGTATTTCGAATAATCGAACAGATCTAAACGATTTAATGAGCGATGACGGACGACAATGAATTTTTTTTCGACCTAGAAAAAGTGTTCTATTGTTACTGGCGGAGCGGATCGTGTAAAGCAGTGTCTTCGAGAGCCGTTTGAATAAGAACTAATAGAAATGAGAGGGAGGCGAAGGGGAGAGCACCTCATCAAGAGGCATAAGCTTAATCCAGAACTATATGCAGTTTGTGTATTCAACCGTTAAAACTTGCACGAATTTCAGACCTTAAAATTGCAATGAACACTAATTTAGTAATCGAAATGTTGTGGACGAAAGCGCACGAATTCTCCGAATTTTTTGTGAATTCTTTTTCTGTGATGAGTACTTTATAAATTTTTGATTATGAGAAGTTGTTGTTGTTCCTTCTCCTAATAATAACTTCATAAACTGTCGACCGTAACGCACAAATAAAAACAAATGTAATACTCACGATCAGAAAGTACTACACACAATACCCGGATTAGTGCTAATTCTTAATGACAATACGATTACAACAAAAGCAAAAGAAATGATCCTAAAATGTGAATGCAATAGAAAGATCAGTTATATTCAATAATCACTATCGTTTAAGAACTGCTTCAGTCACACATTACTGAAAGGTTGTGTGACGGCCGTAACGTTGCAACGATACGACCTTCAAAGCAAACAAGCAAAAGAAACGTTTAAAATTCACCATTATTAATGCCTATTCACGAATGCTTTTTATATTCATACCGGATATCCTTNATTTGATTGTCTGAACACTTTCAAATCAATTTTTCGGTGCATCAGAGCAAATTTCACTGACACGGACGATCTTTGAATCACAACTAAACATTTGACAAATTTTAACAATTTAGCATTTCGTTTGCATTTGAGCTGTTCCACAGACTAGATTTGACAGTCAAAAACTTCAATTGAAACAACTGAAATCAGAAGAAAACTTAGTAAAATGTGACAGATACGAATGAAGGAAATAATGCACCCTGATGGAGCAAAATTAGCACAACAATCGAGCTGTACAGCTAACGAGTACACGACGACGACTGACTCAAAACAACTCTAAATATTAATGGCACTCAATTGGCATGTATCGTTTGCTTCATTTCGGATCGCATCTGCCAGATTCTTACTCGTCGGCCAATAGCCCAGAGCTATGTGCAGTAAATCAGCTGACGGTAATGCACCTCCATAGGATTGCACCTCAATTATGCTCTATTAGGCAATGAATTCATCCAATATTTGAGTTTTCCGCTGTTCACTCAACGAATTAACTTGATAATAACGAAATAACTGTAAAAAATAAAACACCTTGGCCCAAAGTCGTCCGTTCTCTTTCGAAAAAGGTTCATCCCGGAAGCGACTATTCCATATTAACGATGCTGCTGCACGAGCCACCAGATACGAATAATACTTTGCTCCATACGGTACCAAATGAGTGAATCTTTCAAATACACAAAATCATCAAACTGTTCTGAGCTGAGCAAGATCTCAGATCGAAGTCATTCAATAAGATCACAAAAGTACCGGTACTAATAATTTCACTTTATCTTAACGCCGATCTTTCATAGGGTGGATAGATATGAATAAGTTTCATCATAAAAAGAATTAATAACAACGGTCATAATCGAATAATTGAACAAAGAAGAACCTGTGATGCCATGCCGATAAAGGATTTCGTTCGACGTTCGGGAATACTGTTGACCAAATTGATGCGAAAAGATCTGTGGTCGTGTAACGTCCCTTTATTATACCATCAACATTATGTCCATGCAGTTCCAAATCGAATAACGAGTACACAGCCTGCGGTTGAAATCATTCGAAAATACTTGCGACATTATCATATTGAAAAGACATAATTCATAATTTTTGTTTGCCATAAAAGCTTACAAAGCGCTTTCATTTTCAAAAAACTTTGAGCAGTGTCACACGAAATTTGTTCATCGACACAACATGACATAATAAATGTTTTGATATTCCAACGATGATTCTAGTACACATTTGGTCGTGCAGATAAAATTGCAAAATAAACGAATGATATGAAATTGAAAGAATTGCAACAACATGCCAAAATAACCTGTTGTAACAAATCAAGTGAACTAAATGCAAATCGCGATGTGATCAGCGACGCAGCGTCATCCATACTCATCGCGTTGCCATTCTCATCCTTTGCTATTTCTCTTAAAACGCCCAAATCATTGAAGAAGTACTCCATTAAGTTCGATGGAATCTCAGCCATATCCGTTGGACATCTTGTTCCTGAAAGTAGTCACTGAATGACTATCATATCATCGATCACATTACCGAAATTTCACTGAAGCACAAATTCATACTTAAAGATGTGAACCTGAAATTCATGCACAACTGAAAGAAAATGAATTGAATAAACGACACATCTGGAACAAATTTTAAAAAACATTCAGTGATGAAACTGATGAAACTTGCCCGCCACATGCTGATATTGTGTTCTACCAAGCATCGAATGCATGGCATGTCCCATTTCGTGAAAGAAGTTCTCGGCTTGATGCGATGTCAAATGTATTTCATCCAATGACTTCGATTCATCGCTTGTCATTGACAGCGATAATACAACGATTGGTGTTTGATAATTACCGTCACTTAACTAAAATTCTACGCAAGAAATAATCAATATTCGAAAACTGAAATTATCACCAAAATTTGAATATATAAAGATTATTAAATCGAATGCACTTATATGTGAATATTCCTTATAAGAGCTATATGATAATGGATAGCAGGAATTCAAACAGTACAATCGATTGTGTGCTAAAATTACTGAACAATCTGCAACCAATTTTCAAGAACTTTAGAAATATTCCAGAAAAAAAAACTGACCTGTTTTGAACATCGAACCGTGAAATGGCAATCGCCAACACCTTTCGATTGTCTTTGCTCAATGTCCAAATAAATGCATCCCATCAGTGCATCGTTGCTATCATGAACTTCCTCAAAAACCGATTGATTTGAAAACAAATAAATACACTGATAACGCTCTCATTCACTGAAGTGAATGANCATAGAGTCGATTAACAACCATTTCAAAGCCTCGTAGGATGTTTGCAAATGATAAATAGCTACAAAAATATAGTCTTCTGCAGGTTCCTTTCAGGAATAAAGATTATTTATCTATTTATATTTGTGACACAAAGATAAACGCTAAACATTCCATATTGATTGGAACAATATAAATTTTGTCTCAGCTGAGAAACGAAAACGCGAATCAACCAACTTCGAGAGCAAATGCGTATCGCCATACGCTTTACGTCGATATATCGTGCAAAGATACTGCAAATCCCATTCACCAACATGTTCGGTCTTTAAGTCGCATTCACACTGCACCAGCACATCCAACAATACGGCTAATTCCCGTTCAGCTGCTGGACGGCATGACTGAACTTCATTCGGTTACAAAATGACTGAGTTTTATAAACGGCACAGACGAAAATTTTACACAGTTCAAAATTTCTTACAACACAACAATAAAACGCTTTTAAAAACATATCTAACTTCTTTCAAAATGAAACTTTCTCAGTTGTATACTACCGATAAAATTACGTATGTGCGATCAAAAATACATGGAAAGCAGGAATAACAAAATGATCAATTATTATAGCCGCAAAAAACACATATGAATTCAAAAAGAAGATTCCAAAGTGATTTTGTTGAAAGAATAAAAACGAAAGAATGAACACACAAAGAATGAATGAACAAAAGTGAACCTTAATAATATTCGTAAGAAAATCATGAGCGTTATCATAGTTACCCAATAATGAGAATTGTTGTGCACGATGAGCATACGTTTCGAAGCCAGTTAAGCGTGCCAAACGATGTCGACACGTTATCAAACGAACCAAACTCTCTTCCTGGAAAAGAAAACAACTTTAAAATATCTTTTAGAATCAATCGGAACTGACGAAAACACTGTTTATCTGCAATAGTAATGAGCAATAATGACCAATTTCTTCAGTAGCATCCAATCGAGTACTCCAATAATATTCAACGCATAAGAAACTTTTGTATAAAACTCATTCACATCACCGCACACATAACGTTCTTTCTTATGAACACAAAGGAACATTCACGATAAACGAAATATTTCAATTGCTTCACTGCAAACGACAATTCACAACGATGATCTATTGCATTTAATCCACCTGCTCGTCGTTATGCCTGAAGTAAGTATTATGTGCCCATTGCCGTGTTCGTCGTGTCATCGAAATGGCCAACGGATTCACGAGGTAGCGATAAGGATTCGGCAAGTATCTGTCCACTCCGTATTGTTTACGTTCCATGATGGACACCTTTACTGGACGTTCGGCGCCCATGCAGAATTTGGAACCCGCATCGAAGATCTCACTGCTCAACGCAACAAACTCTTCTCTCTGCAAAGCAACAAAAACCAATTTTATTTGTCCTCTACCAGAAAGTGTTCAAAACAGCAATCAAATTCGGAAACCTTCTTATCAGGCAGATCAATCCCAGATTGTTCGAAATCAGCCAAAAACAACTGCAACGTTCGACGATCCACTTCCGTTAGTTTATCTTTCTCAGTTTCAAGCGAATTTTTCAACGCACTATACAATTCTGTATTCGTATTCAAACTGCAAATTTCACTTTTCATTCATCAACCAAGCTTTCAGTATATATATTCATCAATTTAACAATCTTCTAAACTAATTTCATTAATGACAATTCTAATTTTGTGTCTTCGGACAACAAACGGAAAAATTCAAGAAGTCAAATATCTGAAACAGTCACTCATGTTCATTGATCGTTTTGCAAAGCTTATGTAGGCGCATACATCCTCGAGAAATATCCTTGCTCCATCAGATTTTACTATTCGTAAACAACTCACTAATTATCACAATCGTTAAAATGATCAAATTCCAAATATTCCACGTAAAGATACTAGAAAAAGACACAATTGTAAAGGCTATCAGAGTTAAGAACTAATGTGCGTATCGTATCGCAAGATATTCACACTCAGCATTAGTTTGCGAGAGCTAATCAAATCAAGCAATTTTCGAATGATGAGTAGACAAAATAAGATGAGTGCAAAAATAAACGATGAATAAAACCTTTCAACAAGTTCTGTAAAATCACGCATACTCGATTCAGCTGCGTCAACGAACTCCTTATTCGAGTGTAACGATCGTACGCATTCTGTCTTAAATATTATTGTTTAAATCAAACACCCATATAATCAATCAACTCTTCNATACTTGTTTAACTTACAAACAACAAGCTGTAAAAACTTTGTTCAGAAATAGACAGTAAAATTAACCACCGTCAATAAACTCTTTTCATTTATCAACTGAAAAGGATAAAACAGAAGACTGATATGTTCCGTAAGAAGCGTACAATCAGAAATATACTAAATACGTCGTACTAACCAAATCGGCCGAGCAACAAATTTCATTCGATAGATCGTCGAACAATTCAACCGTTTTCCTTTCTTCTTGACGATTCACAATCTGAGGTTAATGCCATCATCAAAGCTATTATCATAATCGTTATCATTATTACTTTACATTATCATCTTTAATGTTACGATTACCTTGCGATCTGTCTAATGTTACGATTATTCTTCATGAATTCAGCACAACACTATACTCATAAGATATACGTACCTTCTTGACGAGTTCCATTGAACGACGCCTAACCATTTTGTTCATTTGCTTGAAACCGTTTGGATCTTTCAATAGCTCAACCCCGAACAATCCCTGAATTTATACTAATATGATAACATTCATTTCAAAACAAGCTACCTGATGATTGTTAATGCCCAATCACAGGAAATTTCTTGAACAAAAAGGCGATTACTATGCAGTTTACGAACAACAACCTTTTTCTGTGGAGAATCACTGTAGAGAGGTGTGTGCTGTAAGCATCTCGCCAATTTTAACACATGATTACAAGAACATGATCTCAGAATACAGTTATGTGACCATAAGAACATCGCGCTCCAAACAACTTCTGCAATCACAATCACTAATGATCACAAATATTACTTAATAATACGAATTATATTATTCTCACTCAAATCAAAACTACTTACAGTTACAATAAGTAGTTTTGATTTGCGTGAGAATAATAGTGAGAATAAGCTGAAAATAAATGATATTCAGTATTTAACATAACAAGATCGTAACGCCTGCATAACATTCAAGAAATTAGTTCACAATTTCAAATGAATCAAAC